AGAACCCAGAAACAAATCCACACGCCTAAATTTAACTCATTTTTGACAAATGTGCCAAGAACATATAGTGGGAAAAAGACAGTCTCTTCAATAAATGGTGCTGAAAAACTGGATATCCATATGCAGAAGAATGAATCTAAACCCCTATCTCTCACCATATACAAAAATCAAATCAAAGTGGATTAAAGACTTAAATGAAAGACCACACACCAGGAAACTACTACAAGAGAACATTGAGAAAAATCTTCAGAGTGTCATCAACAGATGAATAATTTGAATTTGTACTTCAGAAACAAAAAAGAATTGAAGAACCACAGAATTAAAATGGGAGCTATCTCTTTAAAGAGAGAGAATTAAGCCCAAAGAGAAGTCAACATTTTTTTCTAGACAGGTCTTTAACTCCAACATCCAAACATTATTAACATTCTAAAAGTGAGAGTAAAAAGGTCAGAGATAGTCAATGTCCAAGTTGCATTTTTCAATCAAAGGTAGACCCTGCCTCTTTTCACCCTTTCTTTGTTCTCCATTATACAAAGACACTAACTATTCTAACCTCTAACAGCAAGTACTACCCAAGAGATTTATTGCTTCTACAGACTATATAATATCAGTGTCCTTGCCTCTTAGTGTTCAGAATTGTATAAATGTATTTAAAAAATATTTACAATTTTTTCTGCCAAATATATCACAGAATGTAAATTTCGCTGAAATTCTGTTGGCAACATATCACGTAATTTTCATAGTTAATAGTACATACAATGATCTGGAAAAATAATCTAGTAGTTGATTAAATTGAAATCTTCATGCATATATCTTATGTAAAAAAGTGACTTGACTACATCTCATCATTCATATTTTAAGATGATAAATGCAAGGATTGTGGATATGGAATTTTAAAATGAAAAACACTTTCTTTGACTAATTACCATCCTAATACTGGATAATGCCATTAGTAACTGTCTGTATGCATGCGGGTGTACATTTGAATAAAAAATTTTCCCTTTGTTTTTCTCCCACTTAAAGCAGTTAATGTTTTTGTTTTGTTTGATGGAACTTAAACTATCACTAACTACTTACTTTTCTTCCTTATACCTCTTGGCCAACATGTGATGGAATAATGAAATGAGAACATATGGTTTTCTTGAATTAAATAGTAGGGGGGAGCTAGGGGAGGGACAGTGGGGGTGGGGAGGTTGGGGAGGGATAATGAGGGGAGAAATACCAGATATAGGTGATGGGGGCATGAAGACAAAAAACCACCTTCCCATGTATGTACCTATGCAACAATCCTGCGTGATCGGCACATGCACCCCAGAACCTAAAGTACAATTTAAAAAACTATGATAGGATTATACAATTTCAATTAAATTGCTTTTCTCTCAAAGACATCTTATTTACTTGTCTTTACACAATGTCTTTTAAATTAATCAGTTTTAGTTTAATTTAGAAAACCAAGGTAGAAAAATTAACCAATTTGCCCAGGTTCATAAAGTGTGATTACAGAATTAGAAAAATAGAATCGTAGAACTGCAAGAGAACTGGAAGATACTGTCCAGGATTCTGGCCAAACTCTTCATTTATGTGAGGGAGAAAATTGAAGTCTGAAGCAGTTAAGTGACTTGATTAAGATTATATGCTAGATAGTAACAGAACAGAACAGAAGGGAAACTAGGTTGCCCAACTGCTGGCCCATGTCTTTCTACTCTACCATACTCACATATTTAGAGTTTGGAATTTTTGCATGCATATAAGTTAGCTGGAGGCAGTAAGCATAGCCCTATAAAACAACCCTTGAACACTTGAAGAAACATGTTATCAAGTGTAAATTAGAATAGTATCGGGAAGACCTAGTGAGGAAACAGCCAGAAAAGAAAAGATTCATTATGGAATATGAATCAAAATTTGGGTAATGAATTCTGCAATCACACTTTATGTTGCAAGTGTGAGAACCAGCAAGTGTACATACTCATATGGAAAAGTTAGGAAACTGTTGGAGAATAGGAATGGGGTTAGAAAATAGAATCTATTGATTCTGTTGGCTCAGAGAATCTATGTTGGGGAGTAACTAGAATGATGCTTGGTGAGAAAGAAACTGAAGGCAGAAAAAGAACAGAGAAGGGAATGGGGTTATCAAGGACTTATCAGTCAACATTAAATATTTTTTAAATGAACAAATAAATAAATGAATGAGAGAAATATGGAAACCAAAAAGACTGAATCTTTGAACAGAAAAGTAATATATAAACAGTGTCCAAGGTAGAGTATTCTTGTATCAATATGCCACATCATTAAGAATCTTAATCACAGGAAGAGAAAAGATGTATGGCAGAAGAAAAACAAATGGAAGGAAAAGGATATAATATGGACTTGTATTTGGAAGCGCAAGGATACCTCTTATGAGCCAATGGAATACAAAGGGAAACTTCAAAATCATTTGGATTCAAATTCAATTTTGTTTCTATAAAAAAGGACACCTGGGAAATAAAGCACTAAGGGTTTTATTTTTTTGAAATATAAAAGCAGTTTCAGAATCCCTCATGAAACAGTGAACCAACTGTAACTTTTTAGCATAATATGTTATAACTTAGGCAAACACAAGACGATTTTTCCAGGATATCATTGAAACTATTTTTTAATTGTGGCAACTTTCCATTTTAAAATAACCCCCATGGAAGAAGTGACAAGATTCATAATGCAGGTGTATCAGTGCCACTAATGGTTCTGTATCTGACTGTTCCAATTGTTCATCTACTCATAATCATCCCTAATTACTACCTACGCTGTACTTCTATCAACTGAACCCTACCATTTGCTATAGATTGACCAATACCCTAATTTCAATCAAGTGTCAGGAAATATGCTAAATTACTCTGATGTGGAGACTTACTTCTTTGCTTCTTATGAGTGCTTGTAACATATCCTGTATTAGGCCTATATAAAAGCCTAAAACATTGATCTGAATATTTAAATTCTAGAATTGGCAGCACCTTAGATAAGCTAAGGTAACTGTTTTCTACTTGATTAATGACAGCAAGAAATAAACTGCAGTAGCTGACATATGGGAAACTGCTGAGAATGAAGAGTCCATATTTTGGCTGACATGCTGTTTGCCACTTTCAATTCTCCTTTTATTTTATCAAGTTCACATGAAGGAGAAAAAAGGCACTAAGTGATATTCGGAACAATTATAGTACATTTCTTTTTCTTTTGTGCAGAAAGGAATACCTTTACTTTACCTACTAATATCTTTTCTATCTCACATGTTCATTCTTTTTTAATGATGAATGTTATGAAAGTGGCCTATGTCATCACACATACTGACCTCTCTTAAGAGTTTAAGCTGTAGAAAGTGAATAGAGCCTCCCTATCTTTGAAAACGCTATTGCCCATTGTTGCTCCCAGCACATCACCAAGTTGATACAAAATTCATATACAAAATAGGGAGACAAGAAGAATTTTGTCTCATATTGTATATGAATACAAAATTCATATACAAAATCTGGGAAGCCAGGGTGCAAACTTGGGGGGAAGAAAAGCCTTATACATAAAATTAAAATCGTTTTCTACTCCTAGCAATCTACTCTCTATTTCATCCTTTCAATTTGTGTGCATTTCTTTGTAGAAGTTTCCTTCTTTCTTTATATGCTATGGTATAATATGGTGGTTAAAAGTTCAGACTCTGAAGTCAGACTCTGTTTTCATCTTGGATCTTCCACTTGCTAAGTGACCTTAAGGATGTTATTTAGCCTCTCTGTGCCTCACTTTCTTCAAATGTAAAAAGAATTTAACAATAGAATCTACCTCTTATGGTTGCTGAGAGCATTAAACCCATGAATAAATCTAAAGTGCTTATGGCACTGCATGGTATGTAGGTACATCATGTACATGTTAGTTGCTATCATTATTTCATACTTAATGCAGACATTTATAATAGTGCTTTTGAATTAATACAAATTCAGTTTTTTCCTCCTTATAGAAGTATATATGTTAAAATTTTGGACAAGTTAGAAGAACTATAAAGAAAAACAAAAAAATCTCCCTTCTGTAATATTTCTACCTAAAGATAGTAGCTACTCCCGCTATTTAGTGCATACTCCCATAACTATTATTAAGTCCATTTGGTCATCTTCTACCTCCCTTCACTATTACTTTTGCTCTAGACACAGAAAAAAAAAGCACAAAATATTTTTATAAAGAGAAGTGAATTAGGAAAGGCAACTGATTAGACAGCAGGAAGCCTAGCTTTCACTCCCCACCCTTGCTAGATCATTTAAGTAACAATGGGGATATTACTTATCTCTGTCCTTTCATTCCTCCACTGGACTACTGTGAAACTGATATAACAAGAACTTCCCTCTGCCGTTTTTACAAAGATGCTAAGATGCACGCATTAACTTCTCAAACGAAAGGCGATACATAGAACAGGGCAAAATATAAAGTATGTGAGTATAGTACAACTGAAAGCTTAGTTTACAGAGGATGTGTTTTGACAAAATCTGAGAGTAAGCAACAGATAGCAAGTTGCTATAGTCCTTCTTTAGCTGCAGGAGCTATGGAGAGGTCTCTGCTAAACTGTTAATTATAATGTGTTACGGTTTTTAAAGAATGTCCTTTGGTATGCATTTAGACTATTGCCAAAAATAATTCTGTAACACATATCCCTTAATTTTTTATCACTTTTTGTATAACCCTGTGATATGACAAGAGAGAAATTTATGAAATTAGAATAGCTGCACTCCTCATTTAAATTCACTCTAATGTCTTAATATGCATGTCTCCTATGGTTATAAAATATCACCATTTTAATCTAATCTGAATCCTCAAGTATCACCTCCGCACCAAGCAAATAAATGATTCATTTATTCAAAATAACATGAATCATTCTGAAATTGGGTGATTTACATAGACATGTGAGATACTAGTTACTTGTGCTAAGACAATGAGGACAATTTTGCCATTTTAATTCATTTGTGGCCTTTTTGCTCCAGATCTTTTCCTACCTAATGTTGAGAGATTTTTTCCGAAGTTCGCTCCACTTGAAGTTCATGTTATCCAAACGTCTTTGTAACAGGACTGCATCATCAGAACCTTCCAGAGATCTCAGGATTCTTTGGCTGTTTTCATCCAGGTTGTGATAAATATCTGTGTGAGCTTCAATTTCACCTTGGAGGTCCTACAGGACAGCAGAAAGAAGAATATGTGCAGAATTACCAAACAAAGGAAACAAGCGATGAATATGAATTTGGAGAATTGCAAAAAATAAATAATTATTAGTTCAACGACATTTCAATCAGGCTAACTAACAAGAAGATACACCTCAAATCCCTTTTCTTGGTGTGTTGCCTTCTCTTGTTATTATGTAGATTCAAAATGGGCATCTTACTAGGTGTGTAAGTTTACTCCTTGCCATTATGAGTTAGAAAGTAATGTATTTATAACTTTATAAAGTTCACAAGTTATATCTTCTAGTCTATGGACAAAATGTATTACTTCGTGGAGGTGATAAGAAATAAAATTCTTTGATAAAGTATACCTCAGTGCCAATAATTTCATTACTATATGGTTCAAGTCATATTTTCTATTTACGTAGTAATCCGTAGAGTTAACTCTGACCATAAAAGCATGGAGAGACTAATAAACAAGATTGCACTTGGTCCACAGCATCAGCACATTGCTGGGAGTCTATCATGGGAGAGAGAATCTTTTTGACGACACACATTAAGTTCACCTTGGTATTATAGCATCATACACATATTACAGCATCATACATTTATTAGTTATGATTTCCCATTTAATATATCATATTTTAAGTTTGACAGATGGAAATTACATAGGACCTTGGTAAGAGTTATGATAAGAGGTTATACATTCAACCTCATTTGTATATACACAGATCAAGAAAATTATTATAGTAGAAGAATCTAACCTTTACATGGTATGTCTTCCTGTGTAACATTTTCAGCTTGAACCGGGGACTACAGCACTGATCCTGTTGCATAGCAATCCTGAGAAAACCCAGAAACTGAAAGAGCCCTGCTTTAAAATGCCAACTTTGCTTACATTCTGTTGACAGAATGAATTTTGGAGCACAGGCCTCACCAGTCAATAATAATAAACAGCCACTTTGTACTCTGCACTAAACAGTAGCCAGGCGTGTGGATGTGGGAGGAACCTCAAAGAGAGGAGGCCTGGAATATGCAACTGACAGTTTATATTAAACAGCCAACTTTTCTTATCATTTTGCCATTACAAGCCAGAGACATTATAAATTCATTTTATATATGTGTTTCCCTCCTTGTTCCCAGCAGAACGGTCAAAGCCAAGGGAACATTCCTTAGAGAGCTGCTGGGTACCAGCATTCCTTTCTGCCTACACAATGAATGGAAGCTTTGTACATTATCTGACTTGCTCTTAGAGATTTGTATGCTTCTGTTCAACAAGTTTAAAAATTCATTCTGAAGCTCCAAACAATTGGATTGATCTGTGTAACTGGAATTTTTTTTTCTCTCTCTCCCAAATTGAATTAAATTACTCTGCTAAAGTAAGGGAGCAAGTGGCAGAAATAACATGTTAGAAATTCTGAAGAACTGGCTCATGTTTTCACCCACAGCCTCTTCAGATGCAGTATTTTAAATGTTGCACAAGTAAGGTAGACAGACAATGAATATCTATTGTCACTATTTCTGGCAGCTAAAATATGATGGACTCTAAAGAGAGCTGTGTCCCATTCTCTTTGACATGAAGACAGGAAGGGGAAGGAATATGGGTAGAACAATATCAGAAGTTGATAGAAGGGAAATACTTAAACAGACTGAGTAGTATCGCTGTCCCATCAAAACCAGGTTTGTACTGGAAGGATATAGCCTGATTTTGAAACTAGCTTATGTGGTAGAAGGTTAGTATTGGGGTGCTTGCAGAATGGAGTTTGGTAAAATATATACCCACTTTAAGTTTTTCTTTCTTTTCTCCTTTTCCCTACATGGAATAACATCCCTGCCTAATTTGTACTTCTTCAGCAAAAGAGAAAACTGAATTAATTTATCTAAGTACTTCAGGAGAAAAAACCAGCCAGATCTAAGTTCCAGATAATTCCTTCACTTGTCTCTTTTACTTTACTTTTGTTGTATTTGATTTGTACAATATCGAAAACTTTACTTTCATGTATGCACTTAGGGATTAAAGAAAAACTTTTAGGTGTTCAAAAAAATAAAGTATTTTTACTAATAGCATCAGTTTCCATTAACATACATATAAAGGGTAGTACATTTGAATTTTTGTATCCTACATTGATAGCAGAGACCCAGGCTCAATGACAAGCTCCTTAAGATTATGTGTACCATGAAGCCACCAACACTTTGTCTTCTCAAGCATAAATAGAATGTCAATTCATGAATTTGGTGATTTTCATCTTTGCCTGTATATTATACTGCATATAAGCATCACTGTTGTATTATCAACAAAGAAATGAATATAAAATTGATAAACAAGTATTTATCGAGGACTGATTTATTGTCTAGTTTTAGCACTTTGGGAAATGTAAGAGGAGTGCAGATGATGGTTCTGTCTTTAAATTTCCGAAAACCCCATGTGCACTTTTGTTTAATTTGTTTATATTACCAGCTAAATATTGATGGGAGTTCCTGCCAAGTCTTCATAGACACCCTTCCCTTTAGAAATGCAGAGATGGCTAAAGTTGTCTTAGCATTGGCAGGAAGGTAAGTCTTATGTCAGTACTCCTTTTCTAGGTCATGATGCTGACATCGAGCTATAAATGACACATGTACAGTAAAGGGCTTTACAGGTTACAAAGCACTTACAAATGTACCACCTTAGTTATTCCTCCCCCTGGCTCTGTGAAGTATGTCAGATTTTCTGTTTTGCAGATGAGAGCACTGAGACTCAGGAATGTTTAACTGACTCGCCTAAAAGTCACATATCTGATAAGTGTAAGAACTGGGAAATGGATCCAAATCTCTTTCTTCCAGAAGATCTTGGGCTGTCTCCACCGACCCATTTGCCAGAAGCATTGGACATACCATACAGTAGTCGTTGAAGCTGAACAAAGATACTACTTGCAAGACGAAGTAAGTGTCTGTTGAGAAACAAACACACTGAAAGATAGCATTCTTGAGTTTGATAAAATGTTTACCATGTAGATTGATTTGTTCCAAATGAAAAATTGAATTCAGACTGCTCTTTTCACTTCTCATTTAGCATTGGGCATCCTGGACCACCTGTGAGCAAAAACTGTTTACATTGAAAATATCTCCTTTCTACAAATATCCCTGCTGGTGGAACAGAAATTCTGCCATCAGTAATTCATCTCTTTGTCTACAAGAGTCACGTGGACTACTACGAACCACACCAAGAAATGACTTGACACTTGAGCATACACATAGTTCATCCATGTTTCTTTGGGATGGCAGGCTGGTAGGAAATCTGTCAAGCTACAGGACTCAGGTAGGTTGCCTTAAAGGGAAGTAAGTATTGGAGAAGAACCCAAGGCTCTCTTTCAAAAGCTGGCATGCTGTAGTGGAGATTTTTCAGTATCAATAGGTAGCATGAGTCATAGATTGGTAATGAGGGCAGACTGGAAGGAATATAACATAACGTAACATCATAACATAACATAACATAACATAACATAACATAACATAACATAACATAACATAACATAACAGAACATACATAACACTACCATGATGATATTTGTCTAAACTCATCATTTAAAGACTAAACCTTCAGACTTAGGGAGCACAGAAAAGCAAAAGATTGATATGGAGAATCAAGTGGTGTTCTCAGAGGGTAGCCAATCTGGACAAAGGATTTTTTTTTTTTTAGATGGAGTCTTACTCTCTCGCGTAGGTTGGAGTACAGTGGTGTGATCTCGGCTCACTGCAACCTCTGCCTCCTGGGTTCAAGTGATTCTCCTGCTTCAGCCTCTTGAGTAGCTGTGACTACAGGTGCATGCCACCACACCCGGCTATTTTTTTGTATTTTTAGTAGAGACGGGGTTTCACCATTTTAGTCAGGATGATCTCAATCTCCTGACCTCATGATCCACCTGCCTTGGCCTCCCAAAGTGTTGGGATTACAGGCATGAGCCACCATGCCTGACTGACAAAGGGTAATTTTCTAATTTCACAGAAATTTTTGGATAGTTTCATTTTACTTCTGACTTAACTAGAAAAGATCATCCAAGCATTCATTACTGCATTCACTGTATGCTCTCTAATTTTTTCTTCTTTTTGTGATTGCAGTCTTCAGGAAAAACAATAATGAATGAACAAAGAGAAAAGGTATTTGCTACATATCAAAAGCCATAGTAGCAGCAGCAAGAGCAACAACATATATGAGACTTACTATACACCAGGTGGTGTCCATAGCGCTGTAAATACATGAGCTCATTTCTCCTCTCAATAATCCTCAGAGTAGGGACTATTATTATCCATATAAGATAATGAAACTACTGTAAGGATAACTGAACATGCCCAAGGTCACACAGCTAATAAATGCAGCATGATTTAGAACCTAGTCAGTTGGACTTCAGGGTTTGTGCTCCTAACCACTAGGCTACGTTACCTTTCAAGTTTAGTTGTTGGTGGCAGTTTCTCCTATTAATAATGCTACTATCTAAATTTTAGCAAATCTAGCACTTCCATTAGAAAATAAAGGATAATGGTTTCAGCACTCAAAGAGCAATTTTATGGTCTTATTAATATAAAGACTATTAAACAGATTGGTAGCAGTGGACAGAGATGCATCCAATACAACAAGAGAAAACACAAAGTAGTTAAAAAATGGTTGCAAATGAGAGAAATAATGTGTGTCCCCATAAGAGAAACATTTGGCCTAAAGTTCTGTATAATTATAGAGCAAATTTCAGCTGGGAGTACCAAAAAAGTTCAGTCATGAGACGAGCAATATGTTCATAGTATAGCAGTTTTAGGACTAGGGGAGATCCTGTTTTCTGAAGGGCTTTAGAAATTCCACACTTCTTTCTTATCTGAGTCTCATCTACTCCTGTTGTGAATCTCCTTTCTCAGTTTCCAGAGAAAACTCATTTCAAAGTGCAGTTAAATTGACAGAGGTTTGAGTCTTCTCTTTCCCTTATTAGCCAAATAATGATGAAAACTCTTTAATTACGTTGGTGTCACTAAACATGAAATAACA